GTATAAATAAAGCTAATAATAATAATACCTATCCTACCTAATTTATAAGGTTATTATGAGAACTGAAATGTGAAAGTGCTTTCAAAAATCATACAAAGTTACAAAAAAACAAACTATTAATGGGGAGTTGGAGAAGAGTGGGAAACAAACAGTATAGCATAGTGAGTGGTGAAATGCTCAGACTTTGGAGCCAGACTTCAAGTGCTTGAATATAAACTCTGCTGTTTCCTAGCTGTGTGACCTTAGGGAAGTTACTTGACTTTTCTGTGCAATGGTTTCTTTATCTGTAAAATGCAGATAATAAGAAAACCAATTTCAGGACTCTATAAGGATTAAATGAATTAATGCATTTTAAAGGCTTAGAAAAGTGTTTGTCACATAGCAAGCACTCAAGTGTTATATGTTAGAATGCCCCCAGTTTTGTAAATGAAGCATCACATCCCAAAAAATGAGTTCAAATATTTATTGACAGTACAAAAATAATCTAGAAGGTGCTGGTATTTTCTCCCCTTATGGGAATCTGGGTAAATCCCTCCAATTCTGTTGAGTAGTTTCATTTCTCAGCTAGAACTATGTGGCTTCCAAAATGCTTCATTCATACAAATACTTAAGATCAATATAAAGGAATATCTATTATGTAATTTTTAAGTACCTTCTACCATTTTATCTAAAAAGATCTCAGTGTTTTCTTACAGTAGTTTTGTTAAAGTAATATCACAATTTTGTCATCAGTTTTTCGATAACTTTTTTTGGCTTTAAATATCTTACAGAATTTAACTTCTAATTCAAAAGCTGAGTAGCTGACGAGGAAAAATTACCAATGGCTGAGCTAAAGAGACTGGGTAACATGCCAAAAGGAAACAGCACTGGTCCTAAATGAATTATTTACTAAGAAGAACAAAGAAGTGGTGAGGGAATAATTCTCACAAACAGAATATAATTTAATAATGCTCTGAACAATTCTTGTACCAGGTTAGTCTGTGGTTGGGTATGCAGCTACAGATAGATTTAGAGTCTGAAACAAAGTCGGCACCTCACTAAGAAATCACAGCTAGTATTTACCTTAAATTTCCAAAATTCAACAGGAAATGTTGCCAGCAATTCGATAGATAACACCCATCTCCATTTTTTATTTCTTTCTAAGCTGTCAACAAACCAAAACAAAAATGCTCCAGAAGCTCTGGTACTAACTAAAAGTTAAACATAGAAATTCCACTGCAGTATTTCAAAAACAGCTAAGATACCAAATCTGAGCAGACACCAAATAAGGACTGTTTCTGTCAGCATTTATACAGTGCCTCCAGGAATAATGTTAACTGTACAGCCCAAAGAGCATTTTTACTATATAGTTATCATATCTTCAACATTCTAACCACCTTAAGTTTCTACACTGAAGATTAATTATAAATTTCAGTATATTAGGACAAATACCTAGAACTCAAATAATTCACACACAAAAAAAGAGATTCATTTTAAATGAGCTGAATCAATATGCAAACAAAGAGATGGTAGCTATATTTTGTTCTACTTTATAGGCCATATAGAATATGGCATGCACAGTAAGCATTCTGAAACCAGCTCAATGAATGAATGCCTATAGATATAATCTCCCCTAGTACTTTTACAACATCCTTATCTGTGCAATTCTGTGTTGAGAGGGGATTTCCAGACACACCTCTCTGGCAATGCTACTCAAAGCTTCATCTTCTGCAGAAAATCGGTCTTTCACAGGTGTCCTTTTTCTTCCAGAACCAGGAGTCCCCATCTTATTTTCTTAATAGTCTTTTAACTGTGAAAAGTGATTTCACTGTTCTCAGCCCTGAAATAAACAGAAACGGGATAATTTAAGATGCTTCTCTTTTCGCAGTTTTAATGCTCATATAGTAACAATATATTTTATTGTTTGACCAACTCTCTTCAGAGTAAGCTAGTTATTACACAATATAAAACAATAGCCTCCTATTCAAAATTAATACTCTAGATTTATTTAGCAAGTCTTATTTTGTAAACAAATACCACATTTAAATGCATTTTATATCTATTTTCACACTTATCCTTTTCTACTAAGGCAACAATTCAATGACAGCTTCCATATAGTTTTGTTGCTCTACATGAAAAACTAGTCAAACTGCAAATAAGCATCACAACTTGAATTTACAGAAAATAAATGGCCAGCTCTGAGGAGGAGACCAGAATTTGTTATGGACGTGTAGTCTCATTTCTAAAAATATTATTTCACCATCACATTTTTCCATGTTTCTATACCCACCTGTTCTTGGGAATTATGGGCAATAAATAGGTAGAAGGCAGAAAAAGGAAACCAGAGATTTTTTTTTTTTAAAGAATGCATTTCCTAGGAATAAGATGGATGGTTTCCACTGTTCCTCTATGGTCATCAAAGGAATAGGAAAAATAATAGACTCCAAGTAATCAACCTCACCTGACACTAATAACATCAATGCGGGATTTAAATGTAGGTTCAATTTTTTTAAAAAGGCATCTTCACAAATATAAAGTTGGAGGCACCGGAGGGAGGGGTGAGCATGTCGGACACTGATGACGTGCCGAAGTTCCTGGCTGCTGCCCCCTCCCAACCTGAAAAATGTGCCTTAGGCTAGCCAATCCTCGGGCCGCTGTAAATCTAAGCTCTCCCTCCCCCTACCTTCTTTAAAAACTCGCCTGCCCTGCTAAGCGTGACTTCCCCAGCCTGTGACTAGCCAGACCGAGGAACATCGCCCTGGAATTGCGCTCAAATAAACTGCCTGGCCCTTTGTTGCCTCTTGTCGCCTGCTTATTTTGGCTAGAATTTATCTTACATTTGGTGCTGAAACGCAGGAAGGAGCATGAGTGCGCGGGGCCTCAACTTGCCACTGGTGGCCCTGCCCCCTCCTTCCCTGACCCGAGACCTCAGCCTGCTCTCCACTGCGTAGACTATTTTCTGGTGAGTCCCTCAGTTTCCCCCAGTCTGTTTCCCTTCCTAACTCCATTTCACCTGGTCTGTCCAAAATCGTAGCTACGTCCAG